ACATTAATACCTTTTTTAATAAATAAGAGAACCAAACAAGGATACCTCCTCTCTATTATTTGAGTTAGGTCTGGAAATGCTAGCAATAAGATGATAAAGATATTAAAAGTAGGGGCAGCTAGGTGGCGCAGTGGATAGAGCACCAGCACTGGATTCAGGAGGACCCGTGTGACTCTGGGCAAGTCACTTAACCCCAATTGCCTCAACCCCCCCCCAAAAAAAAGAAATAAAAGTATAAGGATAGGTAAAGAATAGATAAAACTGTTACTATTTGCTAATGATATGATGTTACACTTGGAAAAATCCTAGGGAATCGGCATACTAATTGAGACAATAGCTTCAGCAAAGTTATAGGCTACAAAATAAAGCCTCAAAAATCAACCACATTTCAACATAACAATAACAAAACCCAAGAAGCAACAATAGAAAAATGCTATTCCAAATAACTACAAAGTTCACAAAATATCTGGAGATCAACCTACCAAGGTTCACCAAAGACACATATAGATACAGCTACAGGCTTAAATAGCAGAAGGAATATTCAGTGTTTAGGACTAGGCAGTATCAATGTAATAAAAATGATAATACTACCAAAGTTAATTTCTATTTTTATTGCTATGCCAATCAAATTACCAAGGGTTTACTCTATAGAACTCAGTAAAATAGTAACAATTTTCACTTGGAACAACAAAAGATATAGAATGTCAAAGGAAATGACTGAAAGAAATAGGGATGCAAGGGGAATATCACTTACAGACCTCAAACTACGTTATAAAGCAGCCATCCTCAAAACTGTCTGGTACTGGTTAAAAAAGAGAGAGATCTGTGGAACAAGGGAGAATCCTAAATGATAGAACTCAATAACCCAATGTTTGATAAAGTAGAAAACATAAATTACCTAGGAAAAACAATCCTTATTTAATAAAATCTTCTGGGAAACTGGAAAGCACTCTGCCAAAAATTAGGCTAGTCTAGCACATCACACTACCTCCCACAATATCTCCTGGTGATAGCTGTGAGAGGTATATGATCTGCTTCAAATTTTTTTTATAGTATAACCTTAATATTAAAGATCATACTATTAAAAAATTAGAAGAGAAGCAGATCATATGCCTACTCTAGCTATAAGCAGATGTATATTTTAAAATATATCTTATTTATTTCATTAAATATTTCCCAATTACATGTAAAAAATTAACATTCATTTTTAAAAATTTTGAGTTCTGAATTTTCTCCTTCTTTCCTGCTCCTCCCCCCTCCCTTGAGAAAGCAAGCAATATATCGATTAAACATGTGAAGTTGTGGAAAACGTTTCCATTTTAGCTATGTTCCAAAAGGAAACACACACAAAACAAGAAAAATAAAGTTTAAAAAAAGTATGCTTCAGTCTCCATTCAGAGCTGGTCAGTTCTGTCTCCAGAGGTGGAGAACATCTTTTATCACGGGTCCTTTGGAATTGTCTCGGATCATTGTCTTGATCAGAGTAGCCAAGTCTTTCACAGCTGGCCATAGAAGACATATTCTTAACCCAATAAGAGATAGAGGCAATTGTAAAATATACAATAGATAACTTTGATTATTTGAAACTGAAAAGCTTCTGCACAGACAAAATTATTGCACCTGTGATGAAGAGAAATGGTCAAATGGGGAAAAAATCCTTGTATCAGATTTTTCTTATAAGGGTTTAGTATCCAAACTGTATAAACAATTTATATACATACATACATTTGTATGTATCTATAACCAATTCCCCAGTAAATCAGTGGTTAAAGTATATGAACAAACAGTTCTCAAAAGAATTTCAAAGTTTTCACAACCACATGAAAGAATGCTCCAAATAACTAAAAACAAGAGAAACACATATCAAAACAACCATGAGGTTTCACCTCACACCCTGAAAAAATGAAAGATGAAAGATGAAAAGATGAAAAAAAAATGATAATAGTTAATGTTGGAAGGGTTGTTGAACAACAGGCACACTAACACATTTTTGGTGGAGCTGTGAATTAGTACAATCATTCTGGAGAGCTTTTTGGAATTAAGCAAATAAAGTGACTAAAATGCCCATACCCTTTGAACCAAAGATTCTTTCACTGGGCCAATACCCCAGGGAAGGCATCAATAACAAAAAATATCCGAAATAGTTATAGCAGCACTTTTTGCTATAGCAAAGAATTGGAAATAAAGTAGACATTCTTCTACTAGGGAATGGCTAAACAAATTGTAGTACAAGAATTTTATGGAATATTATTGTGCTGTAAGAAATAATGACTGTGATGAATACAGAGAAGCATGGAGAGATCTGTATGAACTGATGTAGAATGAAGTAAGCAGAACCAAGAAAACAATGCACCCAGTAACTACTACAATGTAAATGGAGAGAACGACGCTTCAAAAATTCAAAAGTTAATGTAACCAAATTAGCAAGATCAAGCAGGACTTGAGTGAAGAGGAACCCCCCCCCCCCCCCGCTCCCCAGCTGACCCTATCATGGAGGTGGGAGGTCCACAGGTGTTACACATGGCATCTATTTTTATTTTTTTCCAACGTGTGGATTTCTCTTTCCTTTAAAAAAAAGTACTTTTTTGTTATATGGAATCACTTTGGGAGGTACAGGAGGAGGGATACTGGGGATGATTAGAATGATGTCAAAAACAGGAAACATCAATGAAAACTTACTTTAGAAAAGAATACAAGATGGAGATGATGTCAGCCGCTACCCACCCCCGTACCCACTTTTTCGTCTCTGTAAAATCCTCATGAGAAAGGTCTCCTGTGGGAGGAACAGCACCTATTGTGGGTGCCCTACCATGATGCTGCAGTAGCCTCAGGATCTCCTGGGTGTAGGCACCCCCTCCACTGGTACCACTTGTGACCTTGTCATTCTGTGGGATTCTTCTCAGTGTGCTTCCGTAAATCTTCCATTGGAGAACCATCCAACACATGGGACCCTTCCTCTGGTTTTCTCAATAGTTCATGGATACAAAAGCAATGCTCAAGCTGCCAATTTTCCCTTGCTCTCCCTATCTCTAATGTGTTTCATACCACTAATCAGAAGGTACTAAAAATCCATGATATGTTTGTAGAAAGCATGAAAGAGAAATATAGACCCTTGTAACGGTGTTGGAGTGCTGTTTTGTTCTAGTTGGTTCAGAAACACCAGATTTGAACTTGGAGACCATTGTCATGTTAGGATCCTGAAGTATTACACGTCCCACAGCTAGTGAAAGGCAGAGCCAAAATTCAAACCCGGGGGGCAGCTAGGTGGCGCAGTGGATAGAACACCGGCCCTGGAGTCAGGAGGACCTGAGTTCAAATCCAGCCTCAGACACACAACACTTACTAGCTATGTGACTCTGAGCAAGTCACTTAACCCCAATTGCCTCACCAAAAAAGAAAGGGGGGGGGATTCAAACCTGGATCTTCTTATTTCCTGTATAGTATTATTTCCACTTCACTAAGCAGTGATCAAATGGTTGTATATGTGAAGACTTAACAAGCCAATAGTGAATCTATTTTGCTGAGGCAGTAACATCAACTATAAACTTATCAATGGACCAAACTCAAGGAACGTGGCTATGGGTAGTGGTCCTTGATACAGGAATGCCATTCTATGCCTGGAAGATCACAAGGAAGGAGGTCCTTCCAGCATCTGGATGAGATGGTGACAGGTGCCGTAGGGTGAAAATGAGCTGAGACTTTGGAAATTTAGAGAAGCACATAGTTTTCCTCTAGGCAAATATTTTTCCAGCATTACACTTTTTGAAGTGTCTCTTTTTTGTGAGATTCCAGAAGGTTTGAGAATGCCAAGCTGGACCCTGAGCAGCTGAGCTCATTTCAGGGCATCAAGCTCAGGCATGAGGAGGGTGTCACTGTCACCAAGGACAGAGACATAACAGGAATCAGGCGCCATTTTGTTATCTTGTGATGTTTACTGTTTTACTTGACACTCCTATTGACCCTGTGAACTCATGTTGGACCCAGCGTGGCTATTCCATTTAACCTCTTGGGTCTGGAAACATAGCTATTTTCCCCAAGAGGGTTCTCCCCCTTGGCCTTTTTTTTTTTTTTGAGGCAGTCGGGGTTAAGTGACTTGCCCAGGGTCACACAGCCAGAAAGTATCATGTGTCTGAGGCCAGATTTGAACTCAGGTCCTCCTGACTCCAGGGCCGGTGCTCTGTCCGCGGTGCCACCTAGCTGCCCCTGCCCCTTGGCCTTTTTACTTCCCCTTAACTAACAGCACTGATTGCTCTTGTTCTCATAGGAAGCAGGGGTCCGAGACTCAGGACAAGTCGGTGTGCTTCACTTTTGGATCCAAGAGGCCCAGCTGGCCCTGGGCCCGGATGGAACCAGGAGCACAGTAGCAGCAGCGGCACGTGGGTGTCATACTCGTGCTGCCAGGTGTCCCGAGGTAGACTCGGGCCTGGCAGGGGTATTTAGAACTGGAGGCACCCAGCCCAACCGTGTCACTTTGTAGACTGGGACGTCGAGTCCCAAAGTGAGGGAGTGACTCACACAAGGTCACCAATGTAATAAGTAGCCAAGTTGTGATTCAAACCCAGGTCTTCTGACTCAAAATTCAGTGCTCTTCCTACCACACTGCCTTCCCATCCGGGTGTGGAGCATCACAGAGCTTGAGTGAAATGTTACGTTTATTGGCTAACAATTGTTAGCAGGGTTCCCCTGAGGTTCATTAAAGCTAATGGTGGGGCAGCTAGGTGGTGCAGTGGATAGAGCACCGGCCCTGAAGTCAGGAGGACCTGAGTTCAAATCCGGCCTCAGACCCAACCACTTGACACTTGCTAGCTGTGTGACCCTGGGGAGGTCACTTAACCCCATCGCCTAGCCCAAAAAATAAAATAAAATAAAGCTAATGGTAAGTACGTGGTGTTCTGCCTTCCTCTTCTCCTTTGTCAAGAAATTTAAATAAATTTTTTTGAAATGAAAGCTATTTCCAGAGAGAGAATAAACCAAGTTCCTGATTTTTTGAATTCTTTCAGGATGAGAGAGATGAGGAGAAAGACGAGGAGCTGGACCCGAAAAGAAGTTTAGCACATAAAGACTCTGCCTGTGATAGCGACCCCGAATACAGGTAGGGGAGGCCTGGGCTCAGCCTTCGGCCCGAGGCTCTTGGGGCAAACACAGCCGCTCCCGCTGTGGTGGGCAGTGTGGGGGGCTGCCCTCCAGACCTTCCTTCAGCGGTGGAAGTGTTCACTGTTAAAGGTCAGTTTGCCTGGTTTTAGCCCAGGAGAAAAGGGCGTTTTCTAAAAGGAAAGTCGGGTCTCTTTTTCCGTCTCTAAACTTCAGAAGTGTGTTGTTGCTGTTGTTTTTGGTCATCGTTCCAGAGTTGTCTGACTCTCCGTGACCCCATCTGGGGTTTCCTTGGTAGAGATACTGGAGGGGTTCGCCATGTCCTTCTCCAGCTCATTTGACAGATGAGGAAACTGAGGCAGAGAGGGTTAAGTGACTTGCCCAGGGTCACACAGCCAGTGTGTGTGTGTCTGAGGCAGAATTTGAACTCACATCTTCCTGACACCAGGCCCGGCGCTCCACCCACTGCGCTCTGCAGCTGCCTGGAGTGCAGGTGATGCTCCCCCTCCTATTCCTGCAATTCTGGCTTCTCGCGGTGCGGTCCCGGGGCACGTGAGCTCTTTCTGGATCTTCACATCTCTCTGCTGACTCTCACTGACCTCCCAGATGCCACCTACGCAACCCCAGCCTCGTCCTCCCTGAACCCAAGTAGGAAGCTTTACATTTATCCTTAATAAGTTTCTATCTCGTCAGATTTGGCCCGGTGTCTTTGGGGATCCTGACTCTGCCGTCTGGCGTTAGTGCTCCCTCCTGTTTGGGGTCATCTGTGAATCTGACAAGCTTACCACCTACGCCTTTACAAAGGAGCTGATGAGAATGTCAAGCGCAGATCCCTGGGGCACTCCACCGGAGACCTCCCGATCAATCGGTTCCATCTAATAATGTTGCAGTCTCGGGCACCTCTCTCCTGTTTATTTTCCTACAAGAATAGTATGCGGTACTTCATCAGGTGCTTTGCAGAAATCTCAGTAAACTCCATCTACAGTGTTCCCCAGATTATTCCCCTTATAGTAGAGCCCTGCCAAAAACCGATGAGGTTGGAAGTGTGATCTGGGGTTGGTGTGGCGGCCTTCTGGCTCTCAGGGATCGCCCTTTCCAGAGGTTCACCGATGAGGAGCATAGGCTGCAGTACAAAGCCCGGCAGATCTGCCGGATTGGCATCACCAGCGGCATCTGAGGGATGCCCTCCAGCTGGCCCAGGGTAGCCGCCTGGGCTCCCGGCGGCCTGCTCACAAACCCCTGCTCCCTGGTCTGCCTGGCTTTCGGAGACAAAACTGCTCCCAGTTTTCTCTCAGCCCATTCCTTGCGACTAACGCGGGCCTTTGTTGTCGTGGGTCTGTGTAAGAGAGGGAGCGAACGGAGAAAGCACTTATTGACCACTCACTCTGTGCCAACCACGTGCCCATCTTTGCCTTTAAACCACTCGGAAGGGTCTCGAGGAGGTCTTCGTGGTCCTCTTTTGCTTTTTCCTCAAAAACAGATGTTAGACACGCAGCCCAAAACAGATTAAAATATAATTATGAACAATCTAGCTAAATCAATAAAATAGTCAAGAAGTGGCCCCCGGGGTCTTGTGCTTGGGGTCGTGGCCCCCATTCCTAATGGAGTTTGACCCCGCTGCTCTGACACACTGACTGAATCCAGCGAAGGATCTCTGGGATAGCAGACTCATGATTCGTTAGGAAGTTTTAATTACCTGTAATGATATCTTGTAGCTGCAGAGTTGTAGTCTGACAGAATTATAGCTTGCCATTATGTAATTACGTGCTCTGTACATCTTTTTTAAATTAATTTTTTCCGTTATGAAGCATTTGTTTTTTCTCCCTCGCCCTCACCAAGCGGGGGGTGGGGGGAAATAATACAAGACTCTTGCAACACTAAGCACAGTCAAGCAGAATCACCGCCCACGTTGCGTTGGCCGTGAGGGGGGCAACCTTCTTTGTCACTGGCTCTCTGGGATTGTTCATCTTTCACACTGACGACGTGGAGTGTTGAGTGCGCTCCTGGCTCTGCTCACTTCCCTCTGCATCAGTTCAGACAAGTCTTCCCAGGTTTTTCTGAACCATCTCCGTGCTCATCAGCACAGTATTTCACCAGTCTTAGACCATGATTTCTTCATCCATTCCCCAGTTTGCCACTGCAGAAAGAGCTGCCATCCACGCTTTGTACGTGTCCCTCCTCCTTGTTCAAGAGCTCTGAAATCTCTTCATCTGACCATGGGCTCTCCGCCTCTCCTGCTGTCCTCCCACCAACCCCTCCTCCTCCTCCCCCCGACCAGGGTCTCCCATCCCTCAGCCTCTCGGTTCTCCCCCAGGCCATTGCCCTTGAACTAGAGGCTCTCTCCTCTTTTCCCCATCTTGGTCCCTTGGACCCTGGGAGGTAGATGCTATTATTATTCCTATTTCACAGATGAGGGAAAAGAGGCCAACAGTGGCTGAGTGACTTGCCCAGGGTCATACGAGTTAGTGTCTGGGGCTGGGTGTGAACTCAGAGCTTCCTGACTTCAGGCCCAGTGTGTCCCCACCCACAGTTTCTTCCTCTTTTGGATCCACATCATAGGATGGTTGTGAAGAAGGAGATTTGTCGGCCTGAGCAGCTAAAGAAGTAGTGGCTGTTGTGGGCTGGTTCTGGACTGGTTCTGGGCCAGTGCCAGGTCCTCCTGCCAGGAGCCTGAGCCTCTGCTGCCGGTGTAGCTCTGCAGTGTGGGGCACGTGTGACCTGAGCGGCGTGTCCCCGTGACAGCTTTGAGGAAGGCCTCGGGGACTGAGGAGAGGACTGACCGGCCCCAGGCCCGCCAGAGTCAGAGCCGGTTCGCTGTGGCCCTGGGAGCAGGCAGAGGAGGCCTCAGCTGTCCAGCGGGGCCTGGGCAGAGAGCCAGTGGAAGCCCCAGGCAGCGGCTTCCAGGGGCTGCTGTGCGGCAGCATTAATTAGTACCTGGCTCGCTGCAAACAGAGCCCCGGGACCCCTAAAGGGGAGCAGAGGGAGAGTCCGGCTGAGAGGGCCGTTGGCCTCAGATCGAGGAAGTTGTGTGCTAATGTCGTATGTGTCAGTAACTCCGCCAGAGCTTGGCTCAGAGGATCAGGGGTGGTTTCAGGGGACAGCGGGAGCTGGGGGGTCAGAGTGAGAGTCCTGCCGGCAGCAGGCCAGACTTCATCCGGAGCAAAGAGCTGAGAAGCAGTAGCTGGAGTCTCCAGGCTTCCCCACCGAGCCTTGGCCAGCACCTCTGGGGAGAATTCAGACTCTGTGACGTGGTCAAGGTGTTTGCCGTGGCCTTCGGGAGGCCCAGGTCCAGCTGCGACCTGTACTGAGGAAGGCTGATGGGCTCTCACCCAGCGTGCGTGAGACAGAGCTGAGAGGCCCTGGGCGGAGGTTTGAATTCCATTTCTGCTGCTTGCCCACCGTGTGCCCTTGAGGAAATCGCTTTACCTATGTCAGCCTTGGCTTCCTTATCTGTAAAATGGGGGAACTGAATTTTTATTCCCTGCCTCACGGGATGGGCATGAGGATCAGGCTGTCTTCACTGAGGGTACTTTGTGGCCTCGAGGAAATTTTGTGCATCCCTTCATTCATCAGCTGTTAGTATTACTGTGAGAAGGGTGATGTGAACACATTTATCCCCATTTTACAGACAAGGAAACTGAGGTCCAAAGTACTGGCATCACTTTCTCTAGATCCCACTACTACTCAGTCTTTGAGCCAGGCCTCCAACCCAGATCTTTTGGCCTGTGCCCAGCCCTCTTTCCCCTAGCTCACATGCTTTGGTAATGCCAGCATCTGTGATTTCACTGGGGTTATGTTTTCCCTCCGCTGACATAAATTTCAATCTGTCTGTGACTTAATAGATGGTTTTTGTAAACTGCAATAGCAAGGACATCCCCTGGGCCCCTCCTTCTGGGGCTGGCGCCTTCTCAAGGGGCGAGGCCACCTCTCAGGTAGCAGGCCCAGGCTGAAGCCTTTTCAGTCTGCTGGGGTTTGCTGGAACTCAGCTTCTACCAGCAACCTAGCATTGGCAAGCCTGAAGCCCCCTCCATCCCACAACCAAGCATTGGAATTGTATCTGGCCACCTTCCCCTGCTGCCTCTAAAGCAATTATGATGTCATAATCATTTCATAAGTTATGTGGTAGGAAAGGGAAGACGTCTGTAGTGAAAAAGGAATTGCCAAGACCTAAGAAAAAGGGTTTAGAGTCAGAACATGGGGCCCCTTGAATGTCAGTGCTGGGAAGGGCCTTATGGATAATCAAGCCCAGCATCTCTTACAGAGGAGGAAACCGAGGCCCAGAGTCAGCCCAGGGTTACACAGTAAAGAAACCTAGGACTTGCTTCATAGCATCTCATCTTAGCACTCAGTCAACATTTATTAGGTGCTTACTATGTGCCAGTCAGCATGCTAATTAAATATTTGGAATGCTGATCAAGCCCCCCCAAAAACGGTTCCTGCCCTCAAGGAGCTTACATTTTAAGGAGGGAAGACCACACGTAAAAGGCAGCCGAACATCTGGAGGGCAGTAGAAGGTGCGTCCTTACATGGGGCATGCTGGAAAAAACCTTGAGAGTCAAGACAGGAACCTGGAGAAGAGTAAAGACTTGGCTGGCCTGGTCACTTCTCTTCAAATGGCGATTCTGGGAGGAACTGTCCAAGGGGAGGAAGGGGCCACAGGGCCGAGTGAGCCACCAGGGGGAGAGGCTACTGTGCCCTGGTGAAGATGGACTAGAGGGAAGCCAAGAGCAGCCCAGAGAGGAAGGAGGATGCAGACTGAATGAACAGAGGGTCACAGTGACTGGGTCGGCCTTCACAGTTCTCATGGGCGCAGACCCCACATTCGGCCGCTTGACTTTTTCAGTTCCTGACAAGACCTGAACAGGTCCTCCCGTTTCCCCTTCTCCGTCCTGCAAATGACGGCTTATGGGTTTGACCCGTGCCAGGCCCTGGCGAGAAGTGACCCACGTGGCCTTTTACAAAAACAATTGTTTTAAAAAATACACCTTTCGTTACACTTTC